TTTAATTTTCTGTAAAGCTGCTTTGCAACGATTTGCATCGTGAAAAGCACTATACAAAATAAACTTGAATTGATTTGAACTAGGCAATCTTAACCGCGCCCGAGCGCGTTTGACCCCCAAAACCAGGTTCATTTGACTAATGTGATCGCTCCGTGTTGCACTCCGCCGCGGTTCGTTTAGCCGGCCCTGGCTCGGTTGGAAGAGGTGGGCGAGAGCGCGGTTCAGTTGGGCTCGGGCGCGGCACGCATGTAGTGTCAGAGCGCTGAACTTCTGATACGTGCAGCATGATTGTGTGAACATTTCTGAGCGGCAAAAGTGATAGATCTGTAAAGCAATATATTGTGAGAGGGCCGTGTGTTACCGCGTCCCAGACGACTCAAAATAATAAACCACAAAGTTAACAAAACGATGCACTCCACTGTGCTGAGCGAGAGCGCTTCTCTGTCTTCATGTGCTATCGGAAGCTTCCTATTTCCCACTTATGAAGTCGTGATTACGAGCACGTTGCATTCTTTTCTGTTAAAAATAACAGTGAACAGTGGTTTGTGAATGTTGATGCTTAGCCTAAATAATTTTATCGGGAGCGTTCATGTGAGCGCTGCTGCAGTCTTAGGCCCACCCCAAATGCTCTCATTGGTTGAGACGAGTGGTGACACCCATTCCTAGCCAGTACTGATCAACATCCCACCCCTCCTGTGACCATGGTTTGTCTGTATGTGTATTCAGAGCCAGTGAGCAACGGACTTTCATAATTAAAAAAAAAAATGCATTAATGCGCGATAAAATAATTGTCGGCGTTAATCACTTAATAACGATAACGCGTTAACTTGCCCAGCCCTACTTTAAATATATCCTTTTTAGCTAATTTTTAACAAATTATTTGATTAATTTGGTTGTTTGATTCCATGTCAGAGTTTGAGAAGAGGTTCAAATCATTTTAAAAATAAGTAAGTTAATAAACATTTAAACAGTAAATGATAAATAAACTTTAAGCATGGCACTAGCAACACCAAAGTCATGGGTCAAATTACCAGGGAATGCATGAACTAATAAAATGCAATGTAAGTCGCTTTGGATAAAAGCGTCAGCCAAATGCATAAACATCAATTACAGAAAGATGTACAGAAAGATAAAATCTACATGAAATTATATCTACCCTTTGCTCCACGGTTAAAAATGATAAAGACTAGTGAAAACTATTTTTCACTTAAAGAACTAAATTAACAAGCACCATAAATTTGCTTAATGGATAACTACACTATGCATAATCCTGAAGGAAGAATAATCCTACACGACCCATAATGCTGAAATTATCCTCATGGAAAGTCTGTCATTTTTTGGTGTTTTACCAGCTTCCTTGGCTATTTTCATGGCAAGTAGGTTCTTTTTGCTTCATATCAAATACTGCAGTTCATCTCAGATCTTGTTGGTTTGGAATTTTCTGAAATCCCTATAGGGAAAATGAATGGAACCAAGGCCAAAAGAAGTGGGTGCCCATTATTGAGCATTTTAATGGTTGGTATAACAGCACTAGAGAACTCACCGAAATACTTAGTAGAGGAACCATCGTCATTGAAGACGGTGACTACGCCGGGCCGGAGCACCTGCAGTGTGGGGACGTGGGCTGGGAGGATACCAAAAGCACCTGTCAGTGTTGGGACATCAATCTGTTTTACGCTGGCTTCCTTGAAGAACACCTGCAAAATACATAAGCTTCACTGCACCAGATGAACACAGTTTTTGATGTTAAATATGAAAGCTGGCAACCAAACTATTAAAAGATTGAACTGCCCAAAGGGACAACGAAGCTCAATGCATTAACTATGACCGCTGTGCCCTTGAACAAGACATTTAACCTCAGGTCACTCTAGGGAGACTTATTACAGTGACAGTGCACTTAGAAAAGATGATGAAAAAATAGAAATTACAATTATTAAATACAAAGCACCTGATCAATTGGGAACATTTCTTTAAAAAAGAAAAAAAAGTTCTGCTAAACACAGGGTTCCAATCCCATCTGAATAACGACAGCAATCACAGGACAGTGATCAGTTGTGATACTAAATAAGGACGTTACAAATCATTTTTTGATATTGTAAGATTGCATTCACAACAAGTAGAAAACAAAAAAATTATATTAATTATATTTTTAAATTTACCAATGCTTAGAGAAAAATGCATGACAAAAAAGCTCCAGAAATTTTAAATGTGGGGGCACCAAAAATACAATATGGTGATTCTAACATTAGATATTTTATATCCTGGGGATGTGTTTAATACTAAAACATAGTAACAAAGTACAGCTGTCAGATTTGTTCTGTATTCCTTATGTTCTGTTTGATTGTTTTTTTTAATGATATTTGTGCATTATTTACATACATTAATTACTCTGACATTTGATATTGATCTGATTTTAAAATTAGCATCCAACTGTACAGATTGTCAAATCATTTATTTTTTATAAAATTTAAATTTACAACCGTTTCTATTTTATAAGATTCTATTAAGTACCCATCATTCTGACAAATTGTATTGTAGTTGTTTTGTACTAATCACACAACACATGCTTTTTATTTTATTTTTTAATTAGAAAAACATTTCAAAAAATAAAACAAAAATGCTCCTGAAAATCAAAATAATATTAAATAATTATATTAAATAAAAACAACAAAAATGATTTTCTGTCGCTGATTAACTATTTAAATATAATAATAATTTCAAAATACCCTTAAATATTTGCAGGTTTTGCATGAGTGTGAAAACATGTCAGATCAATGTGTAAAAAAACAAAACAAAAAAAAAAACAAGTCAAGGTGATCGGTAGCAATGCTAACAGTCTGCTAAAGTCATTCAAACTTTGGTCCATGTTTTACAAACCAAAAACTAAATCTTATTTATTTTTATGGCGTCAAAATTTTACAATGTTACATTAAATGCGTTCGCTTCAGATGCAAAATTATTAATCTACACCACAATATCTTTATATATTGACGAGTTTAGCCATGAAAGTAGCACGCTCAGCATGCACGAGTACAAACGAATTAAACTGCAACTAGAATAACGAGGATCTCCATGACAACATGAAAGTATATCGAGATATTCAGAACTTATAACGTTACTCAAATAATCGTAGCCGGTGTCCATGTTTAGCACTCGCGTGTTAGCGGAGTGTGTGTAGGCCTGAGCCCGGAGCGTCGGTACCTGCGTCGGCGATGCGAAAGTGAAGGACATCTGAGCGGCGGGCGCGTCGGCATAACAGCGCGCGTGTCTCAGCGCGGGCACCGCGCGACGAAGGAGAAACCTCGCTGCCATCATTTTTACCACGTAGTAGCGACCCAACGTTTACAGCACGGTAATGCAGAGCCTCGGCTTCCCAGTCCACCCTGACAGACAGACAGTGCGCGGCTGATAGGACAAGGGCACGGGCGACCTTTCCCGTCAGGCCTTGCGAGGACTGTGGGGCTGATGGGACATGTAGTTATTTTCCTTCTTCTTCTTCTTCTTCTTCTTTCTTTTACTGGCAACCGCACTTAACAGTGCATTACTGCCATCATCAGGTAGCTTGGATCAGAAACATTTCCTCTATCTCTTAACATTTTCTAACTTAATGCGGAGGGTGTAATTAATTCACATATATATATAAATATATATTTTTCAACATTTGTCATGCCATTTATATATAGATTTGTTTTAGCCTTATCCCAGATTTAGATTACACATTAAAATAAACATTAAAATGTTAATTATTATTATTACACGTATTATTACAAGTGTTATGATGATTAAACAAGGAGGGAAATTAACATAATTTTAACATTTATTGTGTAAAAATGACGAATGATTTTTTTTTAAATGCGAAGGGTATTATTTATTCACATAATTATTAAAGTTTTTCAACATTTGTCATGCCATTTTTATATAGATTTGTTTTACGAATGATGTGCTGTTGTTGTTTTTTTTATTCAAGAAACAAAAATGATACTGTACGAATCTATCTTTAGGAGAACATTAAAGAGCATTAACAGAAGAGCAATAAATAAATAAATATTACATAAAATAAAATTATAACTATAATTTACAAACTTAATTCAATAAATAAACGGAAACATTAATAATTAATAATCAGAGGAAATAACTGAATAAAACACCTGAGAATATATTGATGTCTATCAACCTTATTTTATTGAAGAAATGTTTGAACATTACAATAAATTTGAACAATTAAGTCCACATACACAAGAAAGAAGAACAATCTTAATCTGTAAGACAGCATTTAAGAGTAGAGAGAAAATAAATAGGTTACATAAATAAAATAAAGTAATAATAATAATAGCCTAATAATAATAGGGCTAATAATAATAATAATAATAATAATAAAAACATACATATAAACTACTAAACAATAGTTCCAATTATCTACAGTGGGGGAACTATACAAGAAACAAATTCCTCCATGAAATCTAACAGTATGTCATTCTTTTTGTTATTAATTTGAATTAGACTCTTTCAAAGATTCCATTTCTAATAAAAAATAAATTACATTTTGGTATGCATTTCGCAAATTTGTGTTTATGAATGTAATAGCCTTATCTTGCAAAATGTCAACGTTAACGACATAATTTGTAAGTCGCTTTGGATAAAAGCGTCTGCTAAATGACTAAATAAATAAAAAAATAAAAAATAAATAATCATTCTGCTTTTGTGTGAATTAGTGTCAAACATCTTTTAAAGAGAGCATGCAATTAACATTTCTTTGAACAAATAAAAAGGCACTAACATCAGACCAAAATCTAAAAGACAAATCGCATTTATAAAACAAATGAGACAAGTCTTCCTCATGTGCGTTAATGCAACGTCTATCAACTTTTTTTAAAATTTTTATTTTTTTTATGCTTTATTAATTCAATGCCACAAGAACATGAGGTATTACATATTCACATGATCAAATTAACATTATTAGCTGCCAGAGAAAAAAAAGCAAAAAAAGGGAAGAAAATTACATAAAGTTCAATGCTTTCAGAGCATTACATGTTTTCAGTGCTTTTTTGTTTTTTGTTTGTTCTAAGAGATTTACATATAATTTAAAGTCATTTATAAAATGTGCAAAATTTGGTTTACATTGAGCCCACTTCTTCTTATGTATATGGAATTTTCCTAACAAAATAAACAAATGTATAATATGTTGTTCTTTACAATTCAAATTTTCGTTTTCTGTATAAAAAAGTACATCAAATATACTAATTTCTATCATACACTCTATTTTCCTGTTAATATAGAATTCCAAATCCTTCCAAAATAATCTCGAGTAAATACAATGAAAAAAAATATGCAAAATAGTTTCTTTTTCTTGACCACAAAATTCACAGGTATACGAAATATTAAGCTTAAATCTTTCCAAAACATGCTTAGCAGGATAAATTCGATGAAGTATTTTGTAAGACACTTCCTTAATTTTGTTATTGATACAAAACTTATTTGGCAGTTTCCATGCTTTAACCCAAGAGATATTATCAAATAAAGAAGACCAAAAAAATCTTGCTGCAGGTAGGGACACAGAACAAAGAGCATTCCTTATAATCGTATTGCTACACTGTACCAATGTTGTTCAGTTCATTCAGAGAGCGCACGTGACGTCCCAGAGCGCTGCGGGTCCGCAACAAACCTGGAAAGGTCCAACAGAGGGCAGTCATGATGAAGAACAAATGTTATTTGAGACCGGTAGCTATTCTTTAGTAGGCCTACTTATGCGGCTGTTTTAAATAACGGTGGATATATTATGAATGCATTCGGTCATTTGAACAGAGTGAAAGTAACCTGTAAGAGACTGGTGTCAGCGCTCTGCACTCACCTTCCTCAGCCCCGTAGAGCCCACCCAATTTTTCTGTTAATATAGAATTCCAAATCCTTCCAAAATAATCTCGAGTAAATACAATGAAAAAAAAGATGCAAAATAGTTTCTTTTTCTTGACCACAAAATTCACAGGTATACGAAATATTAAGCTTAAATCTTTCCAAAACATGCTTAGCAGGATAAATTCGATGAAGTATTTTGTAAGACACTTCCTACGTCTATCAACTTCTCACCCAACAATTCTCAGTTAGTGACGTCATTTCCACCACAACAAAGTTTTTCAAAAACATTAGTGCACTTATCAGTGAATAGTGTATACGACCAAATAAGAGAAGATGTGTAAGGAAAACGAGGAGAACAAAAAGATAATTGTCAAAATTCCTGTTTATATGCATGTATGTTTCATGATTTTCAACTGGCTCTTAAGCCATTAAATAGCTTTTAAAGGCCTTTGGGGCACGTTGTCACAAAATGGCCTTGTGTGGAGTGAACCAGGCTGTATATTTGTTCCTTGTCAATAATATTCACATTCATGTCGTTTTTTATTGTAGTCTGTTTCAAAAATAAACTTGATGATAGAAATATTCACTGAACATATTCACTAAAAAATGACTATAAGGGCGTACGACCAGGAGGGGGCGCTCAGTAAATACCAATTTAACATTCATCGCACGAATTGAATTGACTCATATTTGTTC